GTACAGATTCGGCTTGATTAGAATTTTATTAGGTATAGATATGTATAGATTTTTTTATTCTTCCTTTGGTATAAATATCAGAAAGGATACAATCAAAAAATTGTTATTTTAGGACTATGTAGCAATATTTTTATTATTTTAAACCAAAATGGTTATGATATTAAAATGTATTAATATTAAGCAATAATTAATTATCCATCCACGCGACGCATACAAATAAGCTTTAAATGGAGCTTTTATTTGATAAGATTGAGTGCAACAATGATCAATAATGTGAAATTTTAGAGTTGAGAAAGCGTAAACATTAGTTACAACAACTTACATTATAAGTTTATCACTCCATTAATGTCATAACAAAATGTAAATATACTATTTTAACTTACGAAACATTTAAAAGTTCTTATTTCTATTTAAAACATCGTCACTTTACTCTTAAAAACTCTTTTAAACTTATGTTTATATCTCTGTTTAACATATTAATAATTCTACTTAACGAATAAGGTTGTAAGGTTCTCATAATATTATGTACTAGCTATGTATTGTATTGTATTCACCCCTTTTTAACGTCCCACTGCTGGGCACGGGCCTCCCTTCAGTACGAGGGGGATCAGGCCATAGTCTACCACGCTGGCCAAGTGCGGGTTGGCGAACTTCACGTGTCTTTTGAAAACTTGCTATGTTCTCTCAGACATGCAAGTTTTCTCACGATGTTTTCCTTCACCGTTAAGACAAGTGTCAAGTGGTAATCATGTAGGAAATGATTCGCACATGAAAATATCAGAGGCCAGGGATTTGAACTCGCTTCACTCGGTTTCCCATGCGAGCGCGCTACCACTGTGCTACCACTGGCTTGTTTTGTACTTGTTGTTGATTCACTAGCTAGTAGCTACATATAAGGTAGCTTCGCCTTAGTGTATTATGAGCAGTATTTATATTTTTTAAGATATTTTTTGCCAGTAGCAAAGTTTCCATAAGATTAGTTCAACCATCATAGAGTGATACGTAATTACTTTTACTGGGTCTAAAACAAGCACTAATGCATAACTATTTTTGCTTTCATGATATTATATGTGTGTATATACAATAATTTTTATAATCTATGCCACGTTAAATTAAAAAAATATATATCTACTACATATTTATTATTTCACTTAGTATGCAGATTACAACGTAAAACATGTCACAATACTATTATAATTGTAAAAGTTTGTATGCGTGTTTAATGTTTATGTTTCTTACTCACGCTGAACCGTATGGACGGACTTGAATGAAAAGAAGACAGATTATGACCTGGAAATAATATTTTCGTTTGCAAAAACTTAACATTATAATAATATATTATAAGTGGCTTACCCTCACTTCACTCGGGTTTGTCCTTAGGTATGTTTTAACGATTAGTATGGAATAGATAGACTATATATCACATTACTGCTCCGCTCCCTTGGGTAACAGCATGATGATATACAGCTAATAGCCTTCCTCAATAAACGGGCTATCTAATGCAAAAAGAATTTTTCAAATCGCATTAATAGTTCCTGAGATTAGCGCGTTCAAACAAACAAACAAATAAACAAACAAACTAATTCTGCCTCTTACACTTAGAGATAAATCACTAGTTTTATGTTAACTGTTCAAAGTATATAAGCAATACGTAAAAATGTTGAGTTGTGTTTTAATTGTTCTTATCTACAGTGAAGACCCTGCTATAAAAGCTCAGTGATGGACGTATAATAATGAGAGTGAAAGTTACCAATGAACTTTTAAACAACAAATGACAGGTATAGCACATTATCACAATTTTCTGGTGAAAGTTGTAGAGTCGAATTTAGTTCATAATACTGACCCTATTCTTCCAAAAGTTTATACAATGCAGTCAATAGTTTTTGGCTTTATTGTTACTACATTTTGTAAACAAAATTTTATTATATTGTTTTGAAAGATATAATTCCTCCAAGACCGCGGACACGCCGGCGTGTCAGTTAACAATATATTTCTTAGAATTTTAATTAATTTCTTAGAAATTTACCTGGAGGTGTTAATGAAATTGCATGCTATTAATAGAAAAATACGAAATAAGGAATGCAATTTATTATAATTAAATTTTTACAACTATGTACTTAAATATTTAAAATTACTTTAAATAGATTTTTCACAATACCACATCTATTTTTTAAAGACGCTCCATTTCCTCTTAAAGCAAACAAACTTCGAACCCACAATCAAAGATGTAAACAGAGTAACCAGCCAAAAAAGGTATCGTAAATCCTAATGTCGACTTACGATAAGTCGTTATCTAAGTAAATGTAGGGGAATGGTCTTTATCGATATTTTAATATAACGGTTAACATGTTTTAATAAAAAACATTAGTGAGATTTTTAACAAAATAGTCACATTTTCATTTCAGGGTACAGTTATTTATTTAAACCAGTTTAAAAAACGGTTTTGTTGGTTTATTAGAGTTCCGTACCCGTAAGGTGCTTACGGAACCCTATTACTAAGCCTCCGCTGATGTCCGTCTGTCTGAGGGCTGTATCTCATGAACCGTAATAGGTAGAGAGTTGAAATTTTTACAGAGCGTGAATGTCTAAAACAACAAATAATAAAAAACCAAGATGGCTAATTTCAAAAAGGCTGCCATACAATTAAAAAAAAGATTACGGTACGGAACCCTTCGTGTACGAGTCCGAGTCGCACTTGACAGTAGGTACTATGTATAAAACACTTTTTTTTGGAAACTAAATAGGAAGGAGGTCTAATCATAACATAGGAATAAAAATATCATGTGTATACTAAAAGTAAAATCAATAAGTCCTCTCGCACAGGAAAGCTTAAAGTATGGTCTGAAAGCATCAATAGAGAGGGTACATATTGTGGAGATAGAGTCTCGAGGGGAAATATATATTTTTTTTATATTATATACACACTCATTGTTTTTGAATAATAATATAAAATTGTTAAATTATTATACTTTTTAAGATTGTTAGGTTTTGTTTTGTTGAGTGCTTTAATAAGTATAACAAAATACTTCTGTTTTATTTAAAAATAATTATTATGCCACGATATTTTGCTCAACGATAGAAATTAATTTCATTGTAGTAAATATTACTATTTTTTTTAATTTATTGATTTAATAAAAGATTTTGTTCATATTGTTATAATTGTACGACCTACGGGACAAAAGCTTGGTACCACCTGGTCTAGCCGTAAATGAATTCCTCAGCGGGAACATACGTAGTCTGTAAACGAAGTCAATGTAAACAAAGTTAAGAGCCATGCTGCCATGCTTTACGTTTAGGCTAGCTGCCTCAGTATAAATAGGTGCATCGCACTCGATAATAAGATATACAAATACAAGGTACGTGTAACGTGTTTAGATGCAACCGTTTGTAGTATATTTTAATCTAGTTTTCACCTATGGTTTTGTTCTCCTGAGACATGGATAAGATTAGTCGATATTATGATATTTAGTTATAAGCTTTCTACTACTTATAAGAATAAGAATATTTTATCTATACTAATATAATAAAGAGGTAAAGTTTGTGAATTGTGAGTTTGTGACGTTGTAGGGGGTAATCTCTGGATCTACAGAACCGATTTAGATGAAATTTGGTAAGATGATAGTTTGAGACTCTGCAAATGATATAGGATACTTTTTATCCTGGAAATCATCCCTTAAGGGAGTGAAAATAGGGATGAAAGTTTGTATAGGAAATCAATCTAGGTACGAACCTGAGCGAAGCGAGGGTGGGTCGCTAGTTTTTTTTATATATGTAGGTAGTTCTAAAGAATAACACTCACACAACATAATGATGTCGCATAAAATTAAATAGATTAATTATAATTAATTGGTACCTTTTTACAAAAGCTTAAAGTAGAAATAAATTGTCATTATTATTTTATATTTATCTGTACCACATATTTTATCAAGTTTAAAATGTACCTATTAGAATTCCATCTCATATCTCACGTTTTTGTTATAAGACCCCCTGGAGATATTGTCCAGTTCTAGTTTAGCTTAATAAAAAACATAAAATTATATGTACTACAACTGTAAGACGCTTAAGCAATTTTAACATATGGGTAAGTATTTTCTTAATTTGAAACACTATTTTACATTACATATAATAATACAAACCATTTTTGAATTATTTATGCCTATTACCATTTTATAACTAAATCCTACTAGCGACTCACCCTCACTTCGCTCGGGTTTGTCCCTAAGTACATTTTAACGGTAAGTATGGCTATCCCACGGAAACTACATTTTTTCGGAATATAAAGACTTCATTCAGACTATAATCTATCTCTGTGTCAAATTTCATCCAGATCCGTTGAGCCGTTCTGGTTTGATTGAGTAACAAACATCCATCTTAACTTTCACATTTATAATATTAGTAAGATTAAGGGATTTATTACCTATACTTAACACCCCGATAAGAGCATTTAGAGCATTGTATAGCTTAAGCTGTCAAAGCCAGGAAATGGCAGCATTCATTACTTCTCATAAGGATACAGCCGTAAATAGACATGAACGCTATTGTTAATTCGTGACACCTAGATTATGTATGGACTGCAATGTTGAAACGCAATAAAGTTCATTCATTCCAATGTCGAGAGGACATTTTGAAAACGTTTTGTAATCTAACAGCAATTTACAACCATTGATATCTATTATGATAATTTAGCTAAATACAGGTAAAATTTGCAAACTTTTTAATTAAGTAATATTTTTAATTCAAGCAATTAGCATTTGTAATTATTTTATATTAATATAATGTTTATGGAGTCTTATAATAATCACTTAAAAATCCTAAAATACTTAAAAGAAAAAACTAAATACTAAGTTCGGCTTAGGAGCCTTAATAGTGTAACGAAAATTTTTTATAATTAATTTTTATAATTTAAATAATTGTCTTAATAAAAAGAAGCTAATTGCTGTCTAAAGTTACAGTAAAATTTAAGTAAAAACTCAAATGTCAAGTAAATGTCGAGCACTCACCTCGTAAATAGACGTCATTTTGAGTTCACAGCGTGTAAATTGCAGAAACAAACAAAATTAACAGCACATCACACAAAATATTTTAGCTATAAAATAAATTATAGCTCAAAAATTCAAATGTCAATATGTCAACTGTCAAATTTCCCGCGCAAGAAAAATAAAGTGTAAAGCTATTCGGTATTCAGCCAGCGCGTGTGACGCGTTCAATGTTTGGCCGGGACTGAGCGTGAACGGCTCAATGGGTCTCAGCTGGCGCGCTCAATGAACCATTCGAGTTCGGAGGTCACCGCTCATCCTGACCCCCGTCAATTTGAATTTCTCTACCCTATAAACCTACTACGACAACTTTATTAGTTATTTATAAGGTACTTATTATAATTGTTTGGCGCAGTTGATTTTTTACCATAGTGATTCCAAATTAATAAAATTGTAGAATTTTTATATATGTACATTAATTGTTAAATAAAAAAATTGATGTCTTTAATTTTAATTACAATATAATTCAAGTGTCCATGTTTTATGAATTAATAAATGGTCCATATCGTAATAAATTATAATAACAATTTCCGATATGCCTGAGAATCGTTGGAAGAATCCTGCTCTCACGGTTGCATGATTGTTGGCCTAAAGCGGTCGAAATATTTGCCCGATTGACTCACAGTTCATCGACAGTTCATTACCTACTATTGATATTGAAAATGTTAACGGAAATGCGTTTACCTTATGAAATTCGGCAAACTTCAAAACCAATTCGTGTACTATCACAAGGTTTTTGTTTTTTTTTTATCTTTGAAATAAAATAGTTTAATAACCATAATTAGACGTTTGTTTAAAATACAACTATAAAACTAAGTATATAAATTAGCAAAATTACTGCGTAATTAAACACTGATTAAATAGCAGTTTTGAGATGAACAGTAAGTTTTTCAACTTAGGATATGTCATTGGCAAAGTTATTTACAAGTTTTTGTGCAATTATGTCATAATAATAAGTATTAATATTTATTATTATGAGAAAATTGCATGACTCATCAAATCGCTTCCGTTCGTAAAAAACAACGAACATTTTTATAAAAAATATTTAAAACAAAACGGGTTCATAAAATATTGTCAGATAAATATTTTAATTAGCATCAAGTTGAATATAATATAACTTATAAATTTTTATCGTTTTTATTAACAGGCGTGTCTATCCGTCAGGTAATACTTACATGTGAATTTTAGAATAAACAAAAAGTACACGCAAAAAATATTTTCGAACAACAGCCATGTTAATTTTATATTTATGGCCAAGTATACAAAGTAAAATATCTATTGCTATAATTGAACAACACAATATTGCTAATCATGAGATTTCCTTAGTGGCTCTCGGAAGTAATAAAAGCAGTTACTGCACACATATACAGTACTGCCACAGATTACTTAATAGTAACAGTTCTAAATATTTTATCGTCTGTTTATACTTTAATACTATAAACGTAATATATGTATATACTATATAATATACAGTACATATATAGTGAATTTAATGATCGTAGTTACGCGCAGTCAAGCAATTCCTCTTGAGGGTGTCGGCGCCGAAAGGCAAAAACGGAACTCAAAATTTCGTCACCTTTAATATAAAAAGGAAAGACAAAATTGAGTGTAGGTACATAATGAGAATGGTTTCGTCGAATGGGTCTTTAAAATTGAGATCGGTATTTGGAAACTTTTTTTTTAGGAAATATGTAGTTGATGGGCTATCATACTCTTTCAAAGTCGTAAACATTGTCTCTCCATTCTTTTTTTTTTCTTTTAAATAAATACAAACTTATTTTTGCTGTATATAAAATTTTGTGGTCCTAGAATTAATTAGTACATATTTATTTTTTACCCTAACAAATCTAAAAGTATCATAAACTATTTTATTTTACAAACTTTTTGTATCATACAAAGACGAATTATTATTTTTAACAACGGTATATACAATCAGGGTTGACAAGCCTCGAAAGGTTAAATTATTCATGCTAGTTATTAAACTTCGGGGAGGTGCTAGGGGCGTTCCGTTATTGCAACAGTATGTTTGCACACTAAGTTACGCTTACCATTGTTCTATGGAATAAATAGAGCAAAAACTACGCAATATTATATCGTTTTCAGCACGCGTTGCTAAATCATCAAAATACTGGTTTTGTATTCTTTAAAATATATTTTAATGATGTAGTATAAGCGTAACGAAGCACCTAATTTTTGCTTTAAAAGTGTTTAAAGGAATTTATTGGAAAGTAAATATGATTTATTAGCCAACTATTGAATGTTATTTTTGTATTAAGTTTTTCGTGACTTCGTTTGTATATAAGTTTATATATGGTATACCTAATCTAGATATTTTATATTAATTTATAGTCTGCTAGTAGTGTTACCAGTATAATATGTAAATACTTAATTTTAGTTCATATTTGGAAAACAAAATTCCGCTACAAGGAGACCTTACGCTCATCTCTACCCCTTAGGACGTGGACTTTTAAGTTTTTTGGATATATTTGTCCGTTTTATTGAGCTTAGTGTACCTTGTTTTTCATTCAAGCCCATAATAAATTGTCGGCACGTTTCGCTCAGTTTGTGGTTCCCCTACTTGCTAAGCCAGCGGTCGCGGGTTCGAGTCCCGCTGGAGGCATTCGTTTGTGTGATGAACTCTAATGTTTGTACTTCAGTCATTGGTGTTTATATTTATAATATGTATGTATTTAAAGTTATATATGTGTTGCGTATCAACTATCTGGTATCCATAACACAAGCCTTCTAGTTAACCATGGAACTAGATGGTGCTGCGTGTTAATGTCCTAATATATTTATATTTTATTTATTTATTCCAATTTTTTAAACTTTTCAAGAAAAATTGTAATTTCATCGATATCTATATTGTCTATTTCTAAGATCTATTGATATGGATTTTGTTAAATTTGAGCATCTTTAAGCATATTTTTTTAACATTCAACAAACAACTTTACCTAGTCACTGGTTTATTATACTTATGTTAGTATATGTTAATAATAAATTAGTGCTATTACGATGATATTAAATTAAGTATTATAGAGGCACGATCGCATTACCGCTGACAATTAACCGTAAAAACAGCAAATATACATTTATTGCATTTAGGCATAGGCGAGTAATATTCAGTTACATAGCTTTATTTTTATTAAATATATGTGGATATAAGAAAGTTAATAATTACGATGAAAGGGAGATAAAATGATTCCCGAAATTTTATACAAATAAATAATTTCTTTTAAATATTAACAAAGTAATTCAAAATCACTTGAGTAATTCATATTCGCAGCTGGGAAAGATAATATTGGGCAATATCTACAGATGAAGCAGAGTATTTTCTTTTTAAATTAAAACCATAACACTAAAGTAGGTACTAACTTACGGAAAAGTATTGTTTCCAATATTGGCATCCAAAGCCCTTAAAGATAAGTCCACCTATGGATCAACAGAAGTCTTATATCCTATATACCTATTAATTTAATATACTTATTAACATTTTTATACAATTCACAATGTAATTATATCGATAAACACATGCAATTATGGTTAGACGTACTAAATACTATCTCAAGGTCTGCTGTGCCGCGACAAAAACTGGCTTTTATATTCTATGGATGCGAAACCATCCATCGTATTCCCACGACAATCGATAACTAACAGTCGTGGGAAAAAACACAAAGGCAAGCCGCTAGTTTATTGCCAATGTCAGTTATATAAATTCTACGGGAAAAGCCGATTTAAACCAGTGCTGATCAAGATCTTGATAAATCGATATGGTAGTAAGAATATTTTGTATTCTAGTTCGAAAGAGTATTGCTATTTATTCGAATTAAGAATTTCTACTTTGCCGATGGCATATCTATACTTATATTATAAAGGCAGAGTTTGTTTGTTTGAACGCGCTAATCTCAGGTACTACTAATCCGATTTGAAAAATTATGGTTGCCTTAGATAGCCTGTATTGAGGAAGGCTATAGGTTATATATAATTCATGTACGGTTCCCGTGGGTCTTATATTTACTTATAAAAGTCGTTCAAAATATATTTTTGCCGTAAATAAATAATTAAACTTATCAAAATAATTGATATAAAAATCTAAACTTACATATATAACCAAAGTATATAAATTATCAAAATTAGGAACAGCTGTTTTTATACCAAATTGATACAAAAAAATATTTAAAATATAAAATCTGAACCTTAAACGTCACAACACATTGCTAAAAAGAGATATGTTTTCGATAAGGTCTTCGAATCACCTGCTACCAATAAAAGAAAAAAAAACACTTTTGCCAATTGAATGAAACTTATAGATTAATAAATAAGTATAATTAAGTACTTTTGGCAATTAAATAGATAAATAAATATAATTTTGGCAATTAAATATGGTGGTGTTTGGTATTAAATGTGGTGGGTTACAATAATAAATATGGTCGCCATTAAATAAGGAAAGTCAATTTTTAATTACTTTTATGTTCCTGAGTAGTTTTATTTAGATTTTTAGTTCGCCCAATGTTTCTAATGCTTTGCATGAATCATGGTCACGTGACCATATTTGCTATAAAAATGTCAAACGTAAATCTAAGAAAGTAATAGAGGTTCAAGTTCAAATATAGCGATTTTCCATTTAGATTAAAACAACCAAGGCATTGACAATAGACATCTATTTTAAATCGAGTGACCATGCAGCACCAAGGCAATGTAAATTTTGAACCGTAAAATATTAAAATACCAAAAAAAACATAACAAATACTACGTATTAGACTAATTAAAGCTTATTGCTATAAATGAATACAGATTACATAAAGCAACCCTTACAAAGTAGTAAATAGGGTATAATAAATTAAGCTGTAGGTATGACCGATTGACCTTATGTAATAAAAATCAAAATAAATCCTCGAAAAAATCCCAAAAGATAGTTTTATTTGAAATGTCAAATATTCGCATAAATCTAAGAAAGTAATATATCTATTTCTTTTACTATT